ACAGAAAAAGTTGGCATATAAAAAACAAAATAATAATAAATTTTATTATTAAACATAATAATAATAAATAAAAATTTCAAAACAATGGCAATGACTTGTCTATGATGGAAGGAGAGGATGTCTTTCCTTGTCTTTTTTGACATTAACCACTCTGAAAACTTCAGTGTTCCTGAGTTGTGTCTGTAGGGAGATATTCAGAATTTAAGATTCTGAATGTCCTATGCATATAACTGTAACACACACACACACACACACACACACACACACACACACACTCACACTTCAAATGCTCTCTTGACATGGTTTTAATATGGTACTGCTTTCTTTATTAACAAATGATTTAAACAAAATCCTTTGCAGACATTTAATTTTTTATGATGGTCATGATTTTATCTTTCTGAAAATTGCAATTCAGCCTTATAAAACATCTTGGAGTGTAATCTAAACACAGTGCCACCAAATATTAATAATTTATATTTGCTGTCTTTAGAAAAAAGTTAATTTTATGAAATATTTAAGGATAATATATATCATAAAATATTAGATTTAAATGCAAATAAAAGTTAATCTTTTCATTACTTGTGATAAGTTCTCAGGTACGTTAAACACAGAATTTCAGAACTCAAATATTTCAGAAAGGAACAAGCCCAGCATTTGAAGTTAGAATTGTACTTAGGGACAAACAGATCTTTTTGATTTTGAAAATTACTTCCATGAGTCACACAGTTGTAGAATTACACGCCTCCAGCCAAGGCCAGACTAACCTAGACTTGAAACAAGTTCAATCGTAAAGGGAATATGGAGATTAGTAAAGGGGAGGAGATAAAATAGGACAGAGAGGATGAAGGATGTACCGGATGCTGGAGTGTCCTTAGAGGCGTCCTCGGACAGGGTGAACCGGTTTACGTGCAGCGTTTGACCTGCATCCCTGTCCATATTCGTCTCTGCCAAAACGTCCCAACGACATAGTAGTTGCAGTTTCCAATTTTGGTAAACCTTAAATAAACTAGTCAAGTGTTGCTTTTCCACATTGTACTAGTTAATTGCTGTAAAAAAAATAATTGAGAGCAAATGTCTGCACTCTGGGGAAACCTTGAATAAAAAGTCCAACATCTATACTAAGATACAAATGGAAATATTTGGCTTTAATAATTATACAATGTTGGTATCATCGAGACTTTGCGACAGAAACTTCCAAATTTGACTAGGAATAAAATTCTTAGGAAACTTGATGCAAAAACACGAGCTCCTTTCTAGAAGCGCCTCCTGTACCTCTCTAGTTAGTCATTAACCTGGAGGATGTTATTTCTCTGGATTTTAAATGCATCGCAGGTCCTGTCGGGAGAGATAACCCTGGCTTCCTTCAGGAGGAGGCTGTGTGAGCCTCCATATGTGAAGCTGCACTTTCTGCCTGCTGAAAATTCTGTTGTTCGGGTCTCCCAGGGAGATGTCCACTGTGCTATTGTGTAATTTTATCAGCGTGAACTTCTGCTGCATATTTTCCTCCTTTTAAAAATCCATATTTTGGGGGAGTTAACTTCAAATCTTAATGCTGCAACATCTGTGCTCAGACACCTGGGAGCCATCGAAGATGTGTCCTGAAGATCATCTGCATTTTCTGATCCTATAAAATGCGGCAAAGTGAATGAAAGATGATGCACTTTTTTCCTGGTAGGAAAACTTTTTTTTTAAAGGAACCACTGTCTGACTCAGTAGAAAGATTCTCATATTAAAAGAGAATGAGTATTTCCTGAACTACAAAGAACATTTCTACAAATAGAACAGGGCAGTAATTTGTTTTGTGCAATCTAATTCTTAATGTATATGCATATCTTTCCACTAAGATGACTTCATTAATACACACAAAACCGGGAGACAGATATTAGATGTTTTCAAACCAGACTCTTTAATAATTATTTGAATCTAAAGAGAGCAAAATAAATGTAAGCACATTGAATTTACTCATTCGCCTTCTTACAGGGAACTGCCAATAGCTCAACTGCATCTTGCTTAAAAAACAGAGATCATGGTTTTACTTCTGAAATACAAGACTGAGCTCTCAACAAAGAAAAGCCAGTTTATCGGTGAGAGAACTCTTACACCCTATCATCTATTAATAACTCCATTTCTATAGGATAAAATATGTCATCAGGTAAACAGTCTACAGCCTTGTTCTTCTACCTTTATAAGATGGTTCTGTCAATCAAATGTGAGTGATTATTTGTTCTTGAAGTATATGTGAACATTTTATGAATTCCAGCAGCTATGGAAAGCAATTAATAAACTTGAAAAGTTTCCTTGTGGATTCTCTTGAGTCTGTAATCAATTTATCAAATTGGGCTAAACACTAAATATTTTATGTGCCATGTATCTTTGCATATGTTTCATCCGTGCCACTGGTTGAATGTTTGCTGCCAATGGCGTGTTTATCTCCTTTGGTCATCACTGTCAGAACAGTGAAGACCCTGAGGTAGAAGAGTTAAATAACTTGTCTGGTGCCACTCAGTTGTCACTGAGGAGGATGCGCCTCCTCAGGGCGCCACCAGTTTACTTTGTCTTCTATGGGGGGGGGGGAGCGGGGGGTTGGCACTGTGGTTTAAGTGTCTCCCAAGGCTTCACATGTATCAAGTCCATCTCCTTTGTTGGGAACTAAAAGTGTGGAGATTTAATTTGATTGTGTTATTCGGAAGTGAGTGAAGGTCATTGGGCTAAATCTCTGTCATTGGGTCCTTATGACTTCATAAGAAGAGGGAGAGGCTAGAGAAGCATGTATGAGCATGTGACCACTCACACATGTACAGCCCCACACAAGCACACACACAATGCACATATACTCTCTGTCTCTTTACTTGTTATGCCCACATTGTCTTGGGACTCTGCCAACTAGCAGACCATCACCAGATTCAGGCCCTCGACCTCATAGCTCCAGAAATGTGAGCCCAAATGGGCCTGCCTTGTAGTTTACCCAGTCTATCCTATTCTTAGCAATGCAAGCAAAACATAAGCACTTCTCTTGTATAGAATAGCTTCCCACTTTCCTGCTGATGCAACGAATAAGGTAACAGAGGTAACGCATTCAGTTTGCCCTTGGTTTCCCACATACTGTCCCAACACTGACTGAGGAGGGTTGGCTTCTTACAAAGATTGTGAAAGCGAACCCCAACTTTTTGATAATTACAGAAACATTTAATAGCAAGGGGCTTTGGGGCAAATGTGGGTGAATTCCTCTATAGATCAAATTACAAAGACCAGAATGCACAAGTTGTTTGATATTCTTAATCCATTTGTGTTTTTAAGTACCATATTAAAACAAATAATTTCTCCTAGAGAAAAATTAAGCAAATGGATATCCATTGTGTTTTTTTTTTCTTCATTTTAGAGGTAGAGTTGAAAAGTTGGAAATTTTACATACTTAGCTTTTTATCATATTATATATCTTAATCTGAGTGAAGGTTGTATTTATTCTCTCTTATCACTGTCAGATACGCAACACCAGATACGCCAGTTATTTGACTTGCCACAAGCATGGTGCCATGAGGCTGGGATCTCTTTTGCAATTGAGAAGAACAAAGCAAAGACAGAGAAGAAAAGTGGAGTGAGATAGAGTTTTTTTTTAAGTGTCAAAATCATTACTATAGCTCAGCAATTAAATGACATCAATGCTCCTGCCAAGAAGTGTTCATAACTTGGAAGCTGTACTTGCAGTTGACCTGATTTTACAATTGAGATCATGTCTGTGCTTTGCTCTGGGAGGAAAGCTGATCATGGTGTCCCACACACAAGGTCTACCCAGTCGTGATGTTGAGGCTGCTACTGCAAATACCTACTGATTTAAGAGCACAGTGACCCGCAAGCTGATGTAACAAATTATTTCATGAACCTTTTAAAGAGACATTTAAGAATTGTCCAAACACTGAGGGGAGCACAGGGAAGAGTGGGGAAAAACAGAATGGAGGGGACAGGAGCTCCACAAGAAGACAGAGTCAACTAACCATGGCCCCACGGGGGCTCTCAGAGACTGAAGCACCAACCAAGGACCAGCATGGACTGGACTAGGCCGCATACACAGTTGTAGCCAATGGGCAGCTTGGTCTTCATGTGGATTTCCTAGTAAGGGGAGCAGGGTTGTCTCTGACATGGACTCTGTTGCCTGCTTTCTGATCACTTCCCCCTGGTGGGGCTGCTTTGCCTGGTCAAGGGGAAGAGGATGCCCTCAGTCCTGATGCCACTTGATGTGCTGGGTTGGGAGGGAAGTGGGATCTCCTTTTCTGAGGAGTAGGGGAGGATGGATAGTGGGAAGAGGGAAGAAAGGGGGGATCAGGAAGACAGGAGGGAGGAGGCTACAATCCAGATGTAAAGTGAATATATAAATTAAAAAAATTGAAGTCTTCTATTTCTTCTGTAAATACTAATTTCCTCTGATATTTTTATAATTTCTCTTTAATGTAATACTGCTTTCACCCAGTATATTATTATTTATAGAGTATGATACCTTCTCTCATGGTAGAAATCATTATGACCTAGTTTACTTCTTAAATATGATTCAATATTATTTTGTAAGTAGTTGACAAGGTTTGCAACGTAGAAGGCTCAGAGGAGGAGTACTTTCCATGGTTCTTTAATCCTCACCGTGCAAAAGAAGGCAGGATGAAATCAGTTCAAAAGGTTTGGTCTGTTACTTCTAAATCCATTAATATTTACTAAGACTTCATCCCTCTATTTCATGATTTTTGATTTTGTACACTTTCTCACTACTACAGTTTCAATTTCTTAAGTGCAATCTGAGTGACTGTCAAGCGCATCTTCATCCTATTTGGAAGGAGAAAGTGCTGTCAGTCACACCATTTGTTACATCTGGGAGTTTACTTTGTTTCGAAAGCCAGCTAGGGACAGCTGTTTTTCTGGCTGCAGCTGTGCAGCACAGCTTTGGTACTGGGATTTCAGACAGGTGTGCACCGAAGCTCTCTGTTTGTGATGGGTTAAGTTAGGAGCTTTCCTACCTTCTCCACCTTCCTGTGCTTCTGGGTCATCTGTCAGGGGAATCACTTCTGGTTGCTCCACAATCGTGGCATCTTCTTGATTTGGTGAAAGGTCTAAATGGAAGGAGGAGACTCAGGATGTTTAAGTTGCAATCATTGAGATAACACGGTGGCTACTGAGCAGAAAGTCTTTTATAACTTTTTATAACCTTCTAAAGTAAGACTTACACAAAGCCTGATGCTGGCTCTCCATCCATCAGCTCTCTCTCCCTCTTTCTCATACACACACACAGAGACTCACACACACATACTCGTAGTCACACACAGCCTCACATACCACAGATTCACATACATTTACAGGCATTCACAGACTCTCACTCACACACACGCACACACACGCACACACACACACACACACACACACACGCACACACACATTCTTTTTATAGAGAAGTCACAATTTCACCTCATTCTTGCCAACAATATATTCTGGCTTCAGTACCTTCTGTCTCCATAGATGAACTCGGGGACTCTGGCTCAATTTTTGCTTCACTTTTTGTTGAGTCATTCTCTTGGCCTGTAAGAACAGCGACTGAAAAAGAAGAAAAATATGATATGCATGTCTATAGCTTTATCCCAGGTCTGAAAAGCAAATTCTTCAGAGGCCACCTTTTATTCACAATCAAAGGGTTTAAAATGAAGTTTAGGGCACCAATATCAGTTTTCAAAAAATTAAATTTACATCAATTAGTTTATATGGGTTATCCAGATGATTTAAGCAAGCAAACAAACAAAACCCTATTCTTTTCCTTAACACAATTCATATTCAGTTTATCAATCAGTTGGGCATTTGCAGACAACAATCTGCAAGGTTTTCTGTACTACATTGGTGACATTTAGATATCTTTGAAGATATGGCAATTTTGTATACTTAGATCACCTCTCCAAGCTAAACCCTATTTGTACTTCATTCTTCCATCAATAGGAAGATGGGTAAGGAACAGAATGATGTAACTTCTCAGCATTCCCTTTAGATATTGGCTAAATGTAGAACAGGTCATAAAAAGGCTGATGGCTTTTCTGTCATATTCCCTGACTTCTTCCCTGTAGGCTTTTGAACATTTAAATACCCACTAAGATAGGAAATTACAATCGGTTTGTTTTGCCTCATGCTAATGTAAAATTTTATGCCCAGGATGTTTAACTTTTGAATTAAAATACACAAATAAATAAATAGACAACCAGACAAATAAACCTAGACCTTGAACTTGTAGTAAACACAGAAAGGACACATAAGAACTATAAAAGTTTGACCTGGTATATCCCTGTCGGAGGGGGTGATATTATTTTTTCATATTCTCCCTATTTCTCCCTGTAAAAGGATTACATTCCTCAGACTATGTCAATAAGACCGATAGTGAGGCACCCCATTTATATCAGGCCTTTTTATGTGACTTGGTTTAGAAAAGGCCAGAGTTCAGGCATTGTAAATGTTTTACAAAAGTTTAAGATCCATTGCACGTTTCTTGCAGTTCCCTGCACTGAGCAGCGTTGATCTGGGGCAGAGCCAAGCAGAGGCCTGAGCAGGACATGGCCTGAAAACCACCGAGGGTGAGGGCTTATTTGTTACTGCAGCGATGTTGAGTTAGACAACACTTCAGCCGCCATCTTCTGCTTTGATATGCCTATTCTTAGACCTTCCACCACACCCTTCTTCTAGTTTCCTTCTCTGAAACAAACCAAACCAACCAGCAGTTTTGTTTTAATGACATCCTTTCCTCCTTAGCTCATTTTTGATCAAAAGATCTGACAAAATAATGAACATAAACATTTATTTACCTATGTGGTGGCTGAAGTTAGACCCCTCAAGCTGTCTTGGTTAACTTTTCTCCATCAATTCCCAAAGTTCAGTGGTACCCTGAGTATGGATGGCTCTGAGAAATGCTTTTCATTCCTCATTTCCCTTCCCCTTTTCTGGTTCAGGGTACATAAGGTTGGAACTTTCATTATTGCCCCTGTGTTGTCTAAGTTTTAAATTGCTAGCAAAGAGGACCTTTAAAATGTGGATTGGATGAAAACCTTTCCCCTGGATAAGCTCTATTCCTCTCATTCTTCCTTATTCATCCCCGAATTATAGTCCATTGACAAGTAACAATGGAATTATCTAGAAGCTTTTTAAAAGCTTTCAGGCTTCACTTTTCTCATCCAGAATTATAACCTACATATTTTATTTTTCAAGATTCCATTTGATATATATATATATATATATATATATATATATATATATATATATATCCATATATGCTTATGAAGCCCTGGCCTACAGGACTTGAGGACACCTTGAGCCATCAGACTTTGCCACAGCACTTCATGGCTGTTATTTCTGCTCACTGAGCCGGCCTCTGAAGAAAGCACCGTGATAGTCATTCTGCATTCTAAATACATTAGCTCTCTCAGACTACAGTGCCATTTTTCTTTATATTTTCTTTATATTTTCTAAATATATTCTCAAGAATATATTTATTTTACATTTAAAAATTTAAATGCATATAGCAAAACATATAAATCATGATTTTATAGCTTGATGACTTTACACATATCTTCACATATCTATTTTCATGTGTAATCCCTCTTACAGAAAAAAAAATTTCTAGTTCCGGTGGCCTCTTACACTTGGTGCCCCTTTGATGGGTAACACTTTTGCTTGCTTTTAGGATTTACACAAGCAAAACTCTTTTTCTTTTCCTTTAATCTTACTTTTCAAGTATTTGTTGTATGTGAGCTTAGTCCCACGTTTTGTATATATCAACTGACATTCCTATTCATTGCTATATCTTCATCTTCTCTCTAAAGACATGGTGTTATATGAAATTGAGTAATTTCCAGTTTGGGACTGTTGTGAATAACACTGCCAAAACATTTCAGTGTGTTCCTTTGTTGAAAAATGTGTTCAAGTCATTTCAACATCACCCAGAAGTGAAATTGCTGAATAACTGGGAACTACTTTCTTAGGTTTACTAGGTCATGTGAAGTATGGTAGAGATTCTGCTCCCTTTTGACCTTGGGCAGAAATACAGTAAAAGGACTGTATTTGTCTCTTCATTCTTTAGATGGTGTCCTCTTACTACTGGCCATAAAAGTAGCTGATAAGGTGTAGTAAGCATAAAAAGTCTTTGGCCAGTTCCATCTTTATCACATGAGGTTTAAAAAACAGAGGCCTGATCACATGAGCAGCTCTTTCCTCTGCCTGTGTTAGGTGCCAGTGGTGCCAGCTATGTGAGGTGTTGGGGTACATATCAACAAAGGCATGGGTGGTTGCTCTCAAAACGACCGTGGCCAGAGGGCACGGTCATCCCACATGGAAAAGCTTCTTCCCAGAAAGGTGTTTAACAAGCTCCAACTTACAAAACAAAACAAACAAACAAAAACCACTTTTAGATTATTATTATTATTTTTTAACATGGCAGAAAGCTGAGAGGGAAACAATATATTGACTGATAAAAGTGGAAACATTTGTTAAAGTGAAACAAGGTGACATTTGCTAAGGATAAATGCAAAGTCATGAATTATAAAGTCATCCTCATTGAATGAAGAGAAAGAACATTAAATCCATTCTGTTAAAAAAAAAGAACCACAAGTTTTTTGAATTCTAGATCTTCTCTAGATAAGTACAAGTAGGCACACTAGAACGACTGCTTGGAAAAAAAGGTTGAATCACACAGAAAGTAAAGAGTCTGTTTTTCAATTTGTCTCCTAGCAAATATGTTATGTGAATAGCTCTTCCCAGCCATTCATTTAAAAACTGAAAAGGAGGGGCTGGAGAGATGGCTCCGCAGTCAAGCCTATCCCAACTCCCTTGGCTCACCACCACCTGTAACTCTAGCTCCAGGGACTCTGATGTTCTCTTCTGGCCTCAACATACTCATGCCTGTGCATTCATTGATGCACACAAGTCCACAAACACACATGCATAATTAAAAAGTAATAAAAAAGAAAATCTCGAAAATCTGAAGCATGTACAAGAGGATTATACCAAGTTGATTAACTTTTGGAAAGCATATGCTCAGAAAAGCAAAAAGTGTCTTTGTCTTTACAGCAATGTATAGTATGATTCATAAGAAAATGGTTTAATGAACAGAAAATTGAGATAATTAGAAGCAAAATCTACATCCAAGGACATAATGACAATATTATCATCTGGAATACCATGAAAGAGAAGTTACAATAGTCATAGTTAGATGTCAAACTGTTGCATGAAAGTAAACCAAGAAAGCTAATGTAGTCAGTGAAAAAAAAATCTGAAATATCTGCAGGGGACAGATACACACTATGGTATATATACACTGTGTGTGTGTGTGTGTGTGTGTGTGTGTGTGTGTGTGTGTGTGGAGGGGAGGAGAGGGGGAGGGGGTGCACGTGTGTATGGAGTGGATTTAGTCAAATCCAGTTATTTCCTCCCATTTCTTTTTTCTTGACCTCTAGACAGCATGAACAATCTAACCATATACAACTCCTTTTTCCTTGAATTGCCCTTCTACTTTTGGACTTTTGGTTTGGCATTCACTGTGGGCTTTATGGGCTCATTCACCATTTCCTAAACATTATTATTATTATTATTATTATTATTATTATTATTATTATTATTACCTTTCCACATGTTCAGCATGCTCTTTAAATATCTGAAATACTCTTTTTATATTAGTAAATTCTTGTTTTTCAAAGTGAAACTACTAATTGTTTACACAAATTCATGCACACACACACACACACATACACACACACACACAAGCTCCAGTGCATGAACTTGCACAGTCTCAGAATCATTATTATTTTCTTGTTTTTTATGAAAGAATTTTTTATTATTTTTTTAATATTAGTTACAGTTTGTTAACTTTGTATCCCTGCTTTATCCCACTTCCTCTTTCCCTCCCAATCCCACTCTCCCACCCTCATCTCCTCCCTGCCCCTTTCCAAGTCCACTGATAGGGGAGAACCTCCTCCCCTTTCATCTGATACTGGTTTATCAGGTGTCTTCAGGACTGGCTGCAAAGTCCTCCTCTGTGGCCTAGCAGGGCTGCTCCTCCCTGGGGGGGGTGGAGTCAAAGAGCCTGCCATTGAGTTCATATCAGAAACGGTCCCTGTTCCCCTTATTAGGGTACCCACTTGGATACTACAAGGACTACAAGGACTACATCTGAGCAGAGGCTCTAGGTTGCATCCACACATAGTCCTTGTTTGGAGAAATAGTCTCATAAAAGACCCCTGTGCCCAGATTGGCACTTTCTAAGACAACTAGGAATAGCGCTTCCTCAAGATCCAGCTATACCACTCCTAGGCATATATCCAAAAGAGGCACAAGTACACAACAAGGACATTTGCTCAACCATGTTTGTAGCAGCTTTATTCATAATAGCCAGAACCTGGAAACAACCCAGATGTCCCTCAGTTGAGGAATGCATACAGAAATTATGGTGCTTTTACACAATGGAATACTACTCAGCAATTAAAAAGAGGAAATCATAAAATTTGCAGGGAAATGGTGGGACCTAGAAATGATCATCCTGAGTGAGGTATCCCAAAAGCAGAAAGACA